ATCCCACAAACAGTACACTTTGGAAGTTTATTAAGAAGTGCACCATATTCATGAATAAAGATAGTATATGAATGAAATTTTCCTCAAATTTAGATTCACTATAATTCTAAACAAAAAAATTAATAGGTGTTTTGAAAATCTTAACCAAAAGAATTTAAAGTTCATCTACAAAACTAGACATTAAAGAGTTTTGAATATTGCAATTAAATAGTGAATAGCATTATAAACATACATTTATATAGTGTATGGCCCTATAACAAATAAAAGAGGCAACACTGCTATAAGAGAAAGGTCCAGATACAGAGGTTACTAACTTTTATCTAATTTTCTATTATACATTCCTTTGAGAAGCTAACTTTGTCCCAATAAAAATGGGGGCTGGAGAGAAGCCTCAGTCAGTAAAGCTCTAACTTTCCAACTATGAAGACCTGAGTTCTATCCCCAGTACCCACATAAAAATGCTGAGCATGCCGGGCATGGCGGCGCATGCCTTTAGTCCCAGCCCTGGGGAGGTTGAGGCAGGCAGATCTCTGAGTTCAAGGCCAGTCTGGTCTACAAAGCGAGTTCCAGGCCAGCTGAGGCCTGTCTCAAAAAGAGGAAGGCAAAAAAAAAAAAAAAAAAAAAAAAAAAAGGCTGAGTGTAGTGTGTAGTATACTGTAACCCCAGTAGTGGGATATAGGGGACAGAAGGATCCCTGGGGCTCACTGGCAGCCAGTCTAGTCAAACTAGTGAGGAGACCCTGTCTCAGTGATGAAGGTGGACAGTGCTCCTGAGGATGACATCCAAACATCCTCTACTTTTTTCTATACACAGCCCTCCCCCCCATGTGCACGTACACACACCCACACATCATATATGCATTCATCAAATTGTGTACAAGGGATCTACAGAACTCTTTTTTAAAAATATTTTATTATTTTTATTTTATGTGCACGTGTGTATTGCCTGCATGAGTATAAGTGCACCTGTGTCATGCAATGCCCGTGGGGTCAGAAGAGGGCGTCAGATCCCCTGGAACTGGAGTTAAGGACGGTTGTTAGCCGCCATGTGGGTGCTGGGTCTTCCGCATGAGCAGTCAGTGCTCTTAACCTCTGAGCCGTCTCTCCAGCCCCTTACGGAACACTTTAAGCTTATCTATAGAGCCCCTAGAAACCAGTGGATCCCAGTGAAGGAAGCAGAATCATTTGTTCAAACCTAATTTCTGAATTACGATTTAAAAAAAAGCAACCAGGACTGCAGACTGGGCATGCATATGTAATCCCAGGGAGATGGGAGAAAGAGCTGGTAGAGTTCCCAGAGGCTCACATGCCAGCTAGCTTAGTGCACACAATGGCAAATCAAGAAGTGGAGGATGAGGACCAGAAAGTCTTCTAATTTTCACACATGTACCTCGGCAGGAGCACACCCACACACACAGAAACAAATGTACACACATACACGCAAAGATTTTTAAATAAGAATAAAATTCTAGAAGAAAATAGAATTGACAATTTGATCTTAAAACAGTCGTTTTATCTGTTGAGCAGCTCTGAAACAAATCATAAACAAAAAGGACTACATTTCACCACCTAAAAATGTAAAACTTTTTAAGACATGAAATCAAAAGCAACTTGAAAGGGAAAAAACTAGGAGGAAAAACAGCCACAAAAAATATGAAAGGGCTAATTTATGTGAGGGCTAATGTTTACACATGGCTGTTACTGTCAGAAAAGCACTGACATCCATGATAGACTATGAAAAAAAAAAAAAACTAAAAATTTAACTTCACTACTTAGAGTGAATACCCTATTTTCTACCCATCTTATTGGTGGTAGTGTGGGACATGCTTCTTTAAAAATTGTTTCTCAATTTTGTAAATTTCTCTAAAGGCCCTTAGAAACAGCAATTTTGAATAATCGTTATGGATTATGACTCATGTAGAAAGATATTTACCATAACAGAATCTGTAACAGAAGAATAAGCAACAGGGTGATTTGGTTAGGCATCCCTGTAATTTCAGCACTCAGGAGGCTGAGGCAAGAGGATCTCAAGTCCTAGGCCAGCCTGAGCTACATTTGACAATGTCTCAGGAAAAAAATTTAAAGAGAGAGCAACAAAACAACTGAAAAAGGCTTACTACACTGCACTCTTACTAAATACAAATAATCTACAACCATCTAATCACACACTGAGCTGGTCATCCTAACACTAGGTACAGAGCCTGCCAATCTGGTCTACCTCGTGAGTTCTAGTCCAGCCAGGGCTACATAGTGAGACTTTCTCAAAAATAAATCAATAGAAAATAAAAACAAATTTGAAATTACTTGATAATTGAGGATATTTTCATAATACAGTATTATATAATTATTTTAAAGTATTTTGGGGGTCTGGAGATATGGCTTACTGGTAAAGAGCACTGGCTGCTCTTGGAGAGGACCCGAGTTCAGTCCCCAGCACCCACATAGGTGGTTAACATCCACCTGTAACTCCAGTTCCAGGGGAATCCAATGCCCTCTTTTGGCCTTTGCTGGTTTTGCATGATATCAGTGCACTTAAGACACATACAGGCCAAAGCAGGCAAACACACATACACAAAAGTAAATTTTAAACAAAATTTTAACGTATTTTTAGAATAATGAAATCGGAGGGTTCTTAATATAATGTTAAGTTGAAAGAGCAGAAGTTGTGCCCAGGTTGTAACTCATTGGTATAACCTTTGCTCGGGATGCCTGTAGCCCTAGTTTGATCCACAGCACCCCTCCCCACACACACAAATTACAGGCCCAATGAAAAATTAATCGATAAACATTGATAGACTAATCAACCACGGAAAAAGTGAAGTCACAAAAATCATCAGTATAATTAGAGTGCTTATTTCTAAAGGCTGTAAATATCCAACATTTTCTAAACCTACTGTAATGCATCTTTAAGACACTTAAACATATCACAAATTCAAATAATTTTAAATTAAGCTTTGTGGCTTAATCATTCAAGTCTGCTTTTTCTAAACTAAAATTTATATAAAAAATTTACAAAATTATCAAGACTTTTAAATAATTTCAGTAAGTTTCCATTCTTTTGAGTAACTTAGTGTTTATATATACTTATATATATATATGTAACAATCTAGAGTAACTTCGTGTTTATATATACTTATATAATTTTTGATGCACTGTGTGTGTCAAAATTTTGTACAATCATTACCAAACCAATATTTCAAAATGTGAGGGGTTTTTTTTTGACAAAGTACTAAAGAATAAATCATTGACATTCACACAATTCACTACTTTCAGTAAATTTATAATTACACTTACTTCTAAGAAACATGACAGTAAAACTGTCCCATCAATATTGACATTGTGCATTATATCCTTTCAGTGCCTCTTACGATTGTCAGTATTAACATAAGACAATCGTCTGTGTGCCAAACAAAATGTAACTATAAATATATAAACCAAGTTAACAATGTGCAAGCCTGGGGTGAGATAAACCACCTCAGCAACAGAAGTGTCAAAATTGCAAAACTGCCTTCCTTCTGTATAGAAGACAACAAAGGTCCAGAACGCACAGGTCAAATTTATATTCTGTCAAGGGGGAAAAAAAAGACTCATCCCTATCCCTCCATTTCAACCCACATGGGACATCTTTTAAAAATCCACCAACCAAAAGTGCTCCATTCAATTACACCTAGTTAATGTTTACTAAGGGTATTTGTTTTAGGTAATAAAGATACCCCAGACAAAGCAATATTATAAAGCAACAACCACTTCATCTGACAACAGACTAATTCAAACCTGAGTTATATAATCAACCAAGAAAGCAACCGTCTATATGAACCAGATGAGGTTTATGAAACCATTTACAAGTTTTAGCCTAATAAGAAAAACCCTATTAAATCTCACTTATCTCCACCTCCAGTTGTGCAATATAAAATGTCAAGTTGGTGACATACGTTATCATTTTAAACTAGTAAATAAATACCACACTGATGATCTTTAAGAAACTAAAACCAAAAACAGAACTAAAAAAAGCCAGGGACCATACACACATACTACAATGTTCATACTTTTTTAAAGTTACCAACTTTTAAAAATTATTTCCTATTTTCATAAATATAGTGCAACTTGGAATTTTTATCTATTAGGCTGTAACAGCTTAGACATCATCTCAAACAAAACGATAAAAAAATGAGTTGACTAGTTTTCAACAGCTGTCTAACTGAAGAAAGGCAAGGCACTAAAACCATGCAAAATTCCAGTGTTTGGCAAACTGATCAAAATTAACATTTAACACTGACTTTGAATGAAACCTTTTTTTTAAAAAGAAATAATATCTGAGGAAATTGAGATTTCAACTTAAATGGCATTCTTTCCCGGGCCTTCTCCTAACATCTCCAAAACTAGTTTCTATTTTCTAAACATTCACCATTCCTAAGAAAACTGGTGAAAATAGGGTTAAAAACTGTATTTACAAAAATGCAGCTGCAAGAATGCACTTCCCGCGGGAACACCGCTAGGTGCCGATCTTTATCTCCCTAAGCACAAACCAGAGTCCAGAACTACCTAAAAGTGAAATCAGACTCCAGAACCAAAGACCATTCCTGCACAAAGTGAAGTTCACAGGCTGGGAGGGCAGCTGAGAAGACAGGATTTTCCGGTCCACACAGGAGAAAGACATGAGAGGAAGGTTTTCCTTAGAAAATTCGAGAACTGGAGGGAAACAATCCAAAACCCCTCAAGGATGGAAAAAATTAAATCTAGAACCCAAATGGCGTCCAACAAGAACATTAGAGCTTGAAAATGAATATTGCGCTTGCGCAGCCACCGCCCCGCCAGCTGCTCCACTGCAGCTAGAGCCCGACCCGCAGGATCACGTGCTCCCATGCAGCGCGCTGGCAGCTTCGAGACCGCGCAGGCGCAAACTCCGCTCCCGCAGCCGCCATAATGCGGTCCGGACTCTTCCGAAATACAATAGTCCTTTCACGGACTGCGGTTAGAACGGCCCCTGGCACTCGCGTATACCTTAGGGGGCAGGAGGTGAGGGAGAGGGAAGCGAGTTCCGTCTACACAGCCGTCCTGCGCCGCCGTCCCCACCGCCGCCGCCTCAGCCGTGCGCGCTCCACTCGCCGCGCCGCCACCACTGCCGCCGCCTCCGCAGATTCAAAAACAAACCCGCTTCTCCTTTGCACGCGTCGGGGCCGTTATGCAAATCGCTGTGGGCGGAGCTCCGCGAGCGCCTCTGCACTCCGCCCACTGTGCTGTCAGCCAATAAATGCACGGGTTGCCTATTCCCCATGCAAATCTTCTGGTTTTCTATTTGAATGAGGGACTTTGGCCACGCCTCCCGCCGTGGAGAGGAGAAGGAAGTCTGCGGTGGTGGCGCTGCTGTCTTTTCAGTTGAACTGCGAGGTATTTTTTTTTTGTTGGCCTTTTTTTCCACGAAGGTGTGTTTTTTGAGTGAGATTCCTCAGTGAGCACTCTATGTAGGCGAGTGTTAAAACAGCGGAAGAATTTTCCATAACTTCTGGGGGTTCTGGAGTCTGTTTTGGTCAACTTTTAAATCTTTTGTTTTGAGACAGCTTCATGCCCTTGTAGCGCAGTCTAGCCTCAAACTTGCTGTGCAGCCCTCGCTGGTCTGGAACTCAAAATCTTTCTGCATCAAGCTCCCAAGTGCTGGGTTTTACACGTATGATTTTCATCATCAAATTTCCTTGAATTGTATTAAGAATCAGGATGTAGAGAAGACATTTTTTTCAGGTGTTCCAGGACAGAGCAAGCACTACCAATCATACACAAACAAAAAGTTCGCCTTTCTCACCTGTGAAACGGCAATCATGGTTCAACCAAGTTGAGAGGGCTATGTGGTAGAAAAGAATTGAAATGTTTGGCAAACCAAAAAAATAAGCCGGAGAAATATTAGGTGGTAAGGCTTAATAACTCAAAATGTAAGTTCTCCCTTTATGTCTTTGATAGTATTTCAGCAACCATTGTGTTCCAGAACTATGTTATGTGCCTGTCAGTCCTCAACAAAGCCATACACTCATAGCTAGCTGTGATGACTCACACCTGGAATCCCAGCAACACTCATGGAGGTGACGAAAGTGTTATCACTTGTATCAGGAGGGATCAAGGCCAACCTAGGCCACATGGTGAGTTCTAGGTTATCCTGGGCTACATTGTGAGACTCTCAAAACAGAATCAAGGCACAACTTTGTCCTGCACATGACAATTTTACTGGGATTTTAAACAGGGAAACCTGCAAAATTTTAAATTCAAGAAACAACTGGAGAGAACCAGAAACATACCATAGCCAGGTTTTTTTCCCCCAATGCTAAGCCTCCCATGTGCTAGGAAAATACCGCCCGAGGGAAATTGCCAGAATTCAAAGATAAGCCCATGACCCTCCCTGGTCATATCCTGTATAATCTTTATGCCTTCCAAGTGGGCAGAACTTGTGATTTGCTTAATGTCTAAAACTGATTTTAATAAAATAGATTATCTTGGTCAACCTGATTTAATCTAGTAAAAGATCTTAAAAAGGAAGACCCTTCCTCCAGAGCAAGATTTTATTTCTCAGCATATATATGGACGTCAGAGGACAACATTCAGGAATGGATTCTCTCCTTCTACCTCTGGTTCTAGGGATCAAACTCAGGTCATGAGGTTTGCTTGACAGGAGCTTTTACACACTGACCATCTAATTAGCCCTTTTTTTTAAGTACCATTTTACAGGTTGAAAGGTTCAGACACAGGAAGCACATCCACTGAGAACTGCCTCAACTCCCTGAACCATTTCTTCTGAGAAAAGATTGATTGTGAATAGTGGATGTGATGGTGTTCTATCTGTTGCTATTTGTTCTTTTCCTTGGAAGCCTCACCTAAGGGAACACTCTGCAATGCCTGGAACTGCCTTAAAAGGGGCTTCTCTAGTCAATTTCTGCTGGATGTTTTGTTTGTCTACCTATGGCTTGCTTGCTATTTTTTTTTTACGTTTGGCTTAATATAGATTTTTTGGTCTTTTTGAGACAGGGTATCCCTGTTAAACTGCAGCTGGCCTGGAACTCACTATATAGACCAGCCTGGCCTTGAGTTCTCACAGAGATCTGCCTGCCTCTGCCTGCCAAGTGCTGGGATAATAAACTCACTCATTCAAAACCAAAAGTATGGCTACCATAGATCATTCTCCAGAATGTACAAAACACTTACATGAAACATGATATTTGCTTTTTACATTGGCAGCTAAATCACACTGAGTTCTAGAACTCCAATTTTTTTTTATTTTATTTTTTTTTTTTAATTTTTGTTAAGACAAAGGTCTTGTTACAACACCCTGGATGGCCTGGCATTTACTATGTAGCCCAACCTGGCTTGAGATGCTCGGCAATCTTCCTGCCTCAGCCTCCTACATGTTGGGATTATACGCCTGAGTAGCCATACCCACCTAATTATTTTAATGAAAATATTTCATAAAACTTAAAATTATTCAGCTATATTTGTAGGAAGGACTTTTACAAAATGGACATAATCTGTATTAATGACTTTTAATTAACCCCACCAATATCACGTTCTTGTGTTTTATGAACCTGGACACCTGATCTCCTTTCACCCTGATCTCCTTGGCAACCTCAATTTGGCACTCTACACAAAAAAATATGGGTATGCTCAAGAATTAACATATCAAAGAGCAAAAAGAACACCCACCTCCATTGCAGTTAAAAATGGGAAGATTGACCTTGGATGAATGAGATATTCTAGAAGGAGGAGTTAAATGGCAGGACAATCCATTAAGGGTGGAGTCAAGCCTGTACTTCCCCAACTGAAGCTGGAAAAACCATTTTGAATAAAATCATGGGTGGGGCCTGACTTGAGGACACAGTTCCATCAGCACAGTTCCAGGAGACAGATGATTCTAGGAGCTATCTAGGGAAACCAGTGAGCTCTGAGTTAAGAGCCACCCTGAAAAATTAGAGTCAGGCTTTTTTGTTCAGGTAATTGTAATGTTGGTGTAATAATGCTGCATATATTTAATTATTTAAAAGTTTAATTTTAGTTTCTATCTTCCCACTTAAGTATATTTTGAATAATTTAAAAGAAAACTTAATTGTAATGAAATAAAATAGCTTTAATTATGACTTTTTCATTGTCTTGGTTTCATTTTTATACAGTTTTTAATGTGTATGAGTGTTTTGCCTGCATGTATATAAATGCACCTGTGCTGTGCAGGACCAAGGAGGTCAGATCCCCTAGAACTGGAGCTATGGACGGTTAGCTGCCATATGAGTGCTGGGAACTAAACTGCTGAGCCATCTCTCCAGCCCCTTATTTTTATTTGAGGTAGGATCCCACTCTGTAGCCCAGGCTAACCTAGAACTTACTATGTAGTCCAAGGTGTCCTCAAGTTTTGACAGTCTTCCAGCCTTGGTTTCTGAAGTGGTAGAATTACAAGCACAAGCCAGGACCTCCAGCTCTGTTGGTCTGCTATTTCATGTTTTTCAGACCTCAACCAACATATTTCTTTTTAATCAAGTTCCTTTCCACTCATCTCATCCTTAGCTTTCTGCTAATCTTTCAGCTTTTCAAAACTTACAAATCCAAATCCTTTAGGTTTTCTTTGGGGGGGGGGCAGATAGGGTCTCACTATGAAGCCCTTGCTGGGTGGGAAAGTGCTATGTAAACCAGGTTGGCCTCAAACTCAGACACCCACACCTACCTCTGCTTCCCTAAGTGTTGGGATTACAGGCATGTATCACCATGCCCAGCCTTCATTACTTTCATGCTTAAGGCAGGTCCAAACTTGCCAAAGTCCTAAAGGCACTCACCATCCGCGCCTTCTCCAAACTTCTTGATGTAAACATTGGTGAACTCTTTTTGCCTTATCCCCAAATATTTCTTGTTCTTTTTTAATTTTTTTAAATTATTTTTATGTGTGTGAGTGTATTGCTTACATGTAGGTAGGTGCATCCTTGTAGTGCAATGCCCGAGATTAGAAGGTGTCAGAGCCCCTAGAACTGGAGTTACAGATATTAGCTACCATGTGGGTGCTGGGTATTGAACCTGGGTCCTCTGCAAGAGCAGTCAGAGCTCATAACCACTGAGCCATCTCTCCAGCCCCATGTTTCTTGTTCTTTATCAGACTCAAATCATTGTGATCAGCTTCTGGTTCTTTAAAAATAAATAAATTTTATAAGAGTATATTACCTGCATGTATGTAAGTGTACCCATGTCACCTGCAATGCCAGTGGTGTCAGAACCCCTGGAACTGTCAGCTGCCACGTGGATGCTGGGAACCCAACCCAGGTCCTCTGCAAGAGCAGCCAGTGCTCTTAAGCACTGCACCATTTCTCCAGCCTGTTTCTCCTTTTATGAGGCTTAAATCATCAAAATACTTAGGATCATTTAGAGGCATCCCATTCATTTTTTGTGTCTTTTCTTTCTTTCTTTCTTTTTTTTTTTTTTTTTTTTTGAGACAGGCTCCCTGTAGCTCCAGCTGTCCTGAAACTCACTATGTAGTCCAGGGTGTCCTTGAACTCACACAGATCTGCCTGCCTCTGACTTCTGAGTGCTGGGATTAAAGGCATGCGCTATCATGCCAGCCTACCCCACCATGCAGGCCTACCCCATTCATTTTTTAAAATAATGCTTTCAGCTGCTTCATGTGTCTCAAAATGCAGCCCTGAAAGCCATTTTTCATGACAAACTACCTCACATGAAAAGGTGTTCCCAAAAGCAGGAAACAGACTCCACTGAATCGATTCAGTATGCGCCCACTCCACTTCCGGAAGCGACGGATCAGTACCCTGAGACAAACTGCCTTGCTGGCCCTTCCTAAGGCACGATTCACGGTGGGCGCTCCACATCCGGTCTACATACCCAGGTTGCGCCACCGGGCGTCCCCACCCTGCAGACCTGGGTGCGGAGGCCAGGCCGTGCAGAGCGGCCGCTGGCCGTTGCCTAGGCAGCAGAGCGAGGCTACGAAGTAACTGTGGGTGCTGAGACTCATCTCAGCGGGCTGCACGCAGGGAAACAGGCTGCGGCCTTTTCCTGTGAGAAGAGGGAGCGCAGCACCAAACCGCTCAGATGGGGGCCTCCCAACTGACAACCCGCCAACGGTCACGGAGCCTCCAACTGCCTACATCCGGTGGCCTGACCGGAAGTGGGAAGGGCACGAGGCTGGCCCTGTGGTGTCCTGTGATATTCGGTCCTGT